AAACATTTTCCGGACATTATATTTTACATCTTATTTTGACTTAACATGAAGACTGTTCCAAACAAAAACAATCCGGTTCAAAAATGAGGCTTTAAAAAGAGAAGTTCTGCAAAGATTAGCAGCGAATATCGTTTCTTCTTTTCTAGATCATAAAGATTACAATGAAGCTGTTGAGCACTGGTAATCTTTGTTTAATGATTGTGTTAATAATCACGCACCATTAAAAAAAGCGTGTCAAAACAGTCAATAAACCTGAATGGTTTTCCTGTGAAATAAGCGAGGCAATTAAAAAACGAAATTATTTACACCACTGTGCTATCTCCACGAACACTTTCCTGTCTTGGCAATATTATAGAACTGCGCGTAGTAATCGAATAGTTCATTTAATTAGAGACGCTAAACGTAACGTACATTCTATACTAGCTAATTCCATTAATGAGCTAATTCCACTAATGCTAATCTTGACAATCCAAAAAATCTCTGGAAAATAATTCGTAATCTTGCTCCTTGAAATCACTCTAACTGTCCTAACCACTTGACTATTGATGGTAAGACATTGACCAATCCTAAAGATATCGCTGATTCATTTAATGAACATTTTATTAACATAAGAAATTCTGTTTCGTTTATTAACTTCACTAATAATTCAAATTGGGACTACCTTTCTAATTTTCTTTTTTCTAAAATTCCTCCAAATACAACCTTAATTTACTATCCCCCCACTATCTGAAAGTTTTGTTCGAAACAGCCTTAATTATCTGCCCGAAACTAAAGCCGCTGGTTTAGATAGAATTGGTGGATATTTTCTTAAAATAGCTGCAACAGCTATTTCACCTGCTCTGACAAAGATATATAAGGCCGGTTTAAACGACAAGCGTTTTGGGCACGGCACCCCTGAAAATGGGCACCGTGCCAAAACCGCCACTTCGCTATTTACTCGTTTACACGACAACATTTTGTAAACACACTTTTATGATAGGCACCGTGCCCATCGGAAAACGGCACCTATACTTTCCGTTTACGACGGTATATTTTAAAGAATAAATATGTCGGACAGAAATAGAATTATATATTTATATTTATTGGAACGAAGAAGAGTATTATATGAGCCGAAAATCGAGGGGAAAAAACCAATTCAATACTAGAAAAGTACTTTAAAGCTCATATGGGCAAAAGTTATCCCGGTTAGCAAGAAAACTTTTCGACAAGTTTACAAACGAGATCTTGCCTTGGTATGAAAATAATATGAAAAGTTACACTGCGTTCATATGAGACAAAAAGTTTTCCCGTGTACCGAGATCTCGCTTGTTGACAAACCAGATCTCGGTGACCGGGATAATGTTTTTCCCATATGCATGAACACAACTTTACCGCTTAGCGGGATAAGTTTCTGCGTATCAGCATCTTTTCAATTCAATTGATATTCAGTGCGTGCCCATCGGAAAACGGCACCTCTATTTTCCGTTTACGACGGTATATTTTAAAGAATAAATATGCCGGCCAGAAATAGAATTATATATTTATATTTATTGGAACGAAGAAGAATATTATATGAGCCGAAAATCGAGGGAAAAACCAATTCAATACTAGGAACGTACTTTAAGGGCCAGTTCATATGGGCAAAAGTTATCCTGGTTAGTGAAAAAACTTTTCGAAAAGTTTACAAGCGAGATCTCGCCTTGGTATGAAAATAATATGAAAAGTTAGTTTACACTGCGTTCATATAAGACAAAACGTTTTCCCGTGTACGTACCGAGATCTCGCTTGTCAAGTGATAATGTTTTTCCCATATGAACACAACTCTAGTTCCCGCTTGGCAGGATAGCTTTCTGTCGTGTCAGTAACTTTTCAATTCAATTGATATTCAGTGCTATGTCACAGCCGGAAACTTTACCCGGTAAGCGGAATAACGTTTCTCCATGCATGTGAACAGAACAAAAGTATATTTGGCTAGTCGAAAAGTTTTCTCGTTAACCGGGATAACCTTTGCCCATATGAACAGGCCTTTAAAGACAAAAGGAGTTGTTTTCTCGCATAAATGTTGTGCCATCTTGTATTCACCCGCCACGAATTTGAGAGGTATGGACGCATCGAACGACAGCTATTTGCTACGACCTAGTTACTGCTCTATTCAGCGACGAACAGTGGTATTAAAATTTCCGAGTCAACTAGAGCAACATTCACATTCTGTGTTAAATTTGTTTTTTAACATTTTTTTTTTTTAATTTTTGGCAAGTTGTAGTTTTTCGCCGCTCGCTGCCATGTTGGAAAGAGGACAATTTGTTTTGCGCATGCTCGATGTCGAACTCATTTTTTAGTTTTTTTCGAAATTTGGGCACGGCACCCCTTGATAGACGTGCCGAGACTACCTCGTGAGAAAGTCTCGGCACGTTTAAATTTTGCAGCACCGGTGCCGATTTTTGTCACGTTTACACGCCAAAGGGCAGAGGTGCCGTGCCTAAAATTTTGGGCACGGGTGCCCATTTTTAGGGGTGCCGTGCCCAAAACACTGGTCGTGTAAACCGGCTTATAATCTCAATATTAATTCGGCTAGTTTTTTTGACTTGTGGAAAATTGCAAAGGTTTCACCTCTTTTCAAATTGGGTTCACTATTTGACCTTCCAACTTTCGGCCTATCTCAGTTTTGGCCGTTATCTCTAAGATACTTGAAGCCCTGTTCATAATTCGCGACTTCAACCCTCAAAGCACTTGTAGTTTGTCGCGAGGGAACGCCTTAAAAATTTGCTTTTTTAGTAGTCCAAAAACACTGTTTTGGAGTAAAAACGTATAATAAAGTCGTCTAAGAATATCAGGAATTTGGACTTGTGAATTTCTGGAGAGTTTGATTCAAGAAAGCGTCGTTTGGAGTGTTTTATTTCTTCGAAAGTCAGGGGATTTTTGTTTTAGCATTTTACGCCAGTTGAACCACAGAGTAGATAAGACATACAGAGACGTAACTGACCGTTGTAAGCACTGCGGAAGATTACGTTATCATGTACCCACTTTTTTTCAGGCGACCGGGCGAAAAATGATCATCTGCGCGTGCTCAGCAAGTTTAAAGTGAGTCGTCATCAGGTCGTCATCCAATCAGATGCATGCATCTAGTAACTTGCCGAGCATGCGCACAAAAAAAGTGGGTACACTAGTTACGTCTCTGTATGTCTCTACTCTGTGGTTGAACGTTTGCTTACGCCACACGTCATCGTTATCAACGGTCATCGCAAACACGTAATTAAATCCGTACGTCATCGAACTACGTGAGTTCAATAAATTAATACAAACAGAGTAAATCACGTGAGTGTAAGCTTTGAATTCAGAAATGGTTTTAAAAAACACTTCAGATGGAAAGAAAAGTCTAGTTAAGATTGGACGCTTCATAATTAAGATGTTACTTCTTTTTTAAATTTTAAAACTGTCTGTGAAAGTTAATCGAGACGCTAATAAGACCCAAATTACATCAGGAAACATTTTAATCTGCTCCGAACTTGTTTCTCTGCCCAAAAAACTATGCTATGTTTGGTTTTCCACCCGTGATGTTGTTTTCAGAAAGTTAACTTACCATGCAATAACCAGCATCGCTACGGCTTAAACTTACAAATTAACCGCAAGATCTCACATGCGTCTATATTACTCTTGCTTGCCGGAGATATCGCAACGAATCCTGGACCTTACAAACACACGAATCGTGAAAACCAGTTCGTAAAATGTCTCGCACTCAATGCTCGAAGTCTGATGAGTTTACATAAAACCAACATCGGAAACAATTTGACAGATACTAACATTGAACGCTTCCAGAACTTGGTCTATTCTGAAGATCCCGATATTTTTTGTGTCAGCGAAACGTGGCTTAATTGAGGATATTAAAAACTCTGATATTCTGCATTCGGGATATGACATATTCAGGAACGATCGCGGATCTCGTGGTGGTGGAGTACTGTTAGCGATAAAGATTTCATCATTTAAATCAATGCGGGAAATTCAACATGGTCATGATTTGGAGATCTCCATGGCTGAAATAACAACCACTTCAAACGCAAGTTTATTAATTTTTTCTTGTTTTCGTCCTCCAAACTCAGATCATAGCTGGTTGGACAAGTTCAATAACTTTATGAGTGATGTTTGTTCACAACATTCAAACATTGTGCTTGCAGGAGATTTCAATATGCCACGTATATCATGGGACTCGCCAGAGAAAACATCAGGTAGTAACGAAAATACCTTCGTAGAACTGCTCCATGACCATTTCTTGGAACAACTAAACACCGCACCTACTAGAGGTAATAACACGTTAGATCTCGTTCTTACCAATTGCAATATTCCCAACAAAGTCAAAATATGTGAAATTTTGCCTCCCACTCAAGCAGAACTTTTCACCGATCACAACATTATTGTGTTTGAATTTTCAATGTGTCATAATCAACTACCAAAGATACGCAGAACTGTCTATAATTATTGTCAAGGTGATTTTGCTGGCTTACGAACTTCCCTTGAATGTCTAAATCTGGATTCCCTGATTACAACCAACGACAATATCAACAACGACTGGCAACAATGGAAGAAGGCGTTCCTAGAAGCAGTATCCCAACACATACCATCAGTGAGAGTAAAGGGTCGCAACTACAGTATGTACCGTGGATGAATTCTACAATTCTACACAACATCAAGAAGAAAAACTTTCTCCGCCTCAGAATTAAGAAATCCCCAACACCTACTGAATATCTCCTGGAAAAATTCAAAACCCTTCGTAGTTCCATCAAGAGTATGTTACGTCACAGTCGCTCCAAATATTTCGACTCTATTTGTTCCAGCCGTGAACTTAATCCCAAACGCTTCTGGTCCCTGTTCAGGTTCAATAATAAGACACGCAACATTGCTCAAAAGCTCTCGGTGACAGTAACTGAAACCAAAAGAACATCCGCAGGAAATCCAGCAGATATTGCTGCGCTCTTCAACAACTACTTCACATCTATATTTACCACCGATCCAAATATCGAAAACTACAGCCCTGACGCTCTTCCATATCAGTCTAACAATACTATCATCGAGGACATTACCCTTTCGGAAGCCTATGTTTTCTCCGTATTGCATAATCTCGACATTAATAAAGCTCAAGGTCCAGATGGGATTCCTGCACGATTATTAAAATTGCTCCATCACTAATTGTCTTGTTTAATAAATCTCTGAACACTGGTGTGTTACCACGCGACTGGAAACTAGCAAATGTTGTTCCCGTCCACGAAAAAAGACAACAAAGAGCACGTAGAAAACTATCGACCAATTTCGCTTCTTTCGCTTATCTCGAAAGCATTGGAAAGATGCGTGTTCAATAAGATCAAAGACCACGTTTTCGAGCTCATTGAAGTCTTCGAGTATATTGGTCGTGAGTCGGATCTTGGGAAACAAGTTGAAGTGATCTACTTGGATATGTCCAAGGCGTTTGATCGAATAAGTCACATGCAACTGTTGAAACGACTTCGTGATTTTGGATTCGGTGGCAATACTCTTAACTGGTTTAGATTTTACCTCAAGGAACGTCGCCAGCAGACTACAGTACTTGGTGCAACATCATCAGCACTACCAGTAACCTCCGGAGTTCCCCAAGGCTCAATCCTTGGACCGCTACTGTTCTTATTATATCAGAATAATCTCCCCAACTCCATCAACCACTCGAAGATCGCGACGTTTGCTGACGACACAAAGATTTACAAGGTGATAAACGCTAAGGCTGATGCATCCGCTATGGAGAATGATCTTGCGAATTTCCAAACCTCCTCTGCCAATGCTAATCTTCCCCTCAACACAGATATATGTAAGACACTTCGAATTACTAGAAAACGCAACAAAATCGACCATAGTTACAAGTTGCAAGATTCCGCTCTGAAAACCACAGATTACGAACTTGACCTTGGCGTCTGGACCTCCTCCACCCTCACATGGTCGATACAAGTCCTCCACCAATGCGCCCAAGCCAACAAATCCCTCGGGTATATTCCACGGTCCACGATCAAAATCAAGACTATCTCTGTTTGTCGGACTCTATATCGTACCCTCGTTCGTTCCCACCTCGCATACGCGTCCCAAGTTTGGGCTCCACAAACTGTTGACCTCATTAAGCGTACAGAACGCGTCCAACTACGTGCGTCGAAGTACATATTGAACCCACCGTTCTTCTGTGACATCAACTATAACCATCGTATCTCAACGTTAAATCTACTACCTCTGTGTTACTGGCACGAGTACCTAGACATATTGTTCCTTTTCAAATCACACCATGACATTATTAACCTAAGCAGCGACATACTACCACACCCTACCCACACCGTACCCGATCTACAAACCCTAACCCACACCGTACCCGATCTACACACCCTAACCGATCTAACACCCACACCGTACCCGATCTACAAACCCTAACTGCCTACAATTTCAGACTTCAGCATGCAAAACATCTACCTATCAAAAATCATATCTAATAAGGACTACTAGAGTCTGGAACACACTGCCAATGGATTAAACTATTAATAGCATGGCAACTTTAAAGGACTTTAAAAACAAGATATTAATCTATTATAAAACAGCACTAGATAAATGTTATGACGTTGACGATCCACGAACATGGAAATCGGTTTGCTTAAAATGCAACCAAGCTCGCGACCTGACAAGGCCGATAACGTGTTGTTTTTAGATTTAGTTTTGAGAAGCACCTTTTCACATTGGTATCTATGGGGCCTATTCAGGGTTTTGCTGAAGGTTTAGGATTGTGAGGGTTTCAAACGTCTTCTGACTCAGTCAGCTTCCAAAAATGGAAATGGTTCTGCGGGTCGCAATGTGAAAAGTTGCATCTGATAATTCGTTAGTAATTGATTCTTTCTATGTACGTATATAGTGTATTTGTTTAACATTTAGGGATCGCAGTAATTGGCGCAAGCTGTTGCGATTGCCCTGCCAGTTTTTTGTGTTAACGTTGTTTAAATCTGGCAAAGTTAATAAATAAATAAATAAATAAATAGTTGTCACGTGATTAAATTTGTAAACAAATCATGAAATGCGGACAATGAGCAATTAAACATTGTTGCCACAAAACGTTGTGCTTGGGGCACTTGTAGGAATGATTCTATAGATACCCACATTTATTAATTTAACAAAGAATGAAAAAGGAGATGAAGTCCGCTTTTATCGTTTTCCTGCTCCTAAAAGATGGAAAGTATCAGCAGAAAAGAGAAAACGGTGGATTGAAGCATGTCATCGGGGCGATTCCTTTGTATGCGGAAAAGACAGCTATATTTGCAATCTACACTTCACTGATCAGAATGGACCTACACCAGAAAATCCTGATCCACAATCAGCTACAGCAAGTAGAGCGGAAAAGGTAGGTAATGATTTTTTTCTCGCATCTTTTTGTAAACATTCACTCAACTACATTTGTTCTACGTGTTAATAGGTAAAGCGATTGAATCGGAAACGTAAAGCTTCATGAACGTAGATACTACAAAAATTAAAAGTCGAAGACACGCAAAAGGTGCAGTGGAAGCGCTGTTAGACCTTCATAAGTCGTTTATGAAATCAAAATCTTTGGCAGATGAGGAAAAGATGGCTATTGAAGGTCCCGTGAATCTTAGGCTGACCAGTGAATCTCCAGTGCCAAAAGCCAATACAACAGATACAAAATCTATTGCTAGTATACAGACTCCCAGTTTAGAAGTTTGTGAAGTTGACAATCTGTCTGCTGACAAAGCCAAACAAAATAAACAAGATGTTTGTGTACAGGTATTAAATAAACCCATCCTATTTATGAGCTAATCAAACGCTGAATAATAATTGTAATATTAATTAAATT